GGGACTAGTGAATAGTTAGACGAGGTTCGGACACTGGAGAAACGAACATACTGCTCGAATGAGATATGCGAATCTCATAGTTCTGGCCTATTCCTGGAAAGCTATCAAGGCATCGATGGACAACTACGATTGCCTCAGCGGTGGCAGCGATGGGCCCATTCTCAAGATCAGGTGTAATGATGTCAAACACCGCTGCTTTTGAAAACTTAGGGTGACCGGCGATCAAACTACAGGTGATGAGCGAGCATTTCCAGAGGACAGCAAAGTCACTCACTTCGGCTTAAAAATCTCACCAATATGATAGCGTTTGATTCGTCTGATATTGGTCCGTGCTGCTAGGCGAGCGAAAGGGACGAGGGCATTGTTGGGTAACGAGACAACTTCGCCGTGTTGGTCGAGAAGAAGCACACGATTTGGCTCGTCTTTTGCGTTGACAATGGGCATCAAGAGGGGCGGTTCCATGTCCACCGCACCGTGGAGATGGAAAATCCCCGCGAGCGTCTCCTCTACCGTATCGTTGAGGGATGCATGTTCTGGTAGCTCCGCCTCGTTATCGTAGAGGAATCCTCGGGTCCGCTTCTGTGGTTGGGTAAAAAGCGCCGAAAGAAGGGCCTGATATTGTGGAGAGTCCGCATTGGCTAGTAGAGGATGAACATCGAACAAAGACTAGTTGACGAGGCTCAGTGAACTCACACATCATTTGGATAACACCTTTGAAGGACTCGTCCTCCATCCGAGGAGGGAGCAATGGGCTCTGAGAAAGCTCCAAAGCAGACGGGCGGGCATTCGGGTCGTGTTGCAGGAGCGACGAAATAACTACAGGGATATAAGGAGGCTGCAAAGAAACCGGGTGTAACCACCCACTTTGTCGCTGACGACCGCGATGGTTCTCCCAATCAGGGGGGAAAATGATGTCAGGCCTCCTCAAGTCTTCAATAACGGCGACCCTCTCAGCTCCGGTTGAGAAGAAGTAGTTCATTTCGAAGAATACAACCTAACAGGCATCAATATAACCAATCCTATATGTTCTCGTTGGTACTCACACCCAAGCTGTACATATCGGCCTTGTTGTGGTTCCGAGGGCCTCTCCGTGGAGACTGCACCTCAGGGGCAATGTAAAGCATAGTACCGACCTCTGTGCGCAGGTGAATACGTGGTATCGACACAGTGAAACGAGGTCGAACGCACCAAGGGTCAGATCGCTATCCGCGGTGACAGCATGAGGAGATACATCTGAGGGATCGACGGCAGCAAGACTGGAAGTCGCGAGACCGAAGTCACCGACTTCGGAGAGGAATTAAAACACAAGCTGTTTCTAGCTAGCGGAAACCGAACCTTTGCAATCACCTCTCCCGTCTGCGACGCAATGTGAGGGACATGATGCAGTTGATCAAGTTAGGTGCTTACCGATGAAGATGTTGGTCAGTTTGATGTCGCGATGCAGCTAGGGAAGAAGAATTTGGCAGCTGGAACCGCAGAAGGATCAACACGACTCACTATACCCAGAGTCGACATGTGAACTAGTGCGTCGACAAGCTGCATAAACAATCGCCAAGCTTCATCCTCGGAGAGTCCTTCCGCCACCCTCTACCAGAGCGGAAATCAGGCCACCAGATGGTTATCGACAACAATGACACGAACCTCCTTCAAGGTCTGCCGCTCAACAAATTCCTGAAAGCTCGTGAGTCATCTGAAATCTGAATGTCGTCATGCAAATAAAGACCGACCATTTGGATATACAGGGTGCGAGCGATCGTCGAGGGTGTATGGAAACCGTTACCATTACTTGGTCTGCTGAAAAGCTGTCGAACGATTTCTGCACTATTCTCAGCGTCATCGTCCTCCTCACTTCCATTGTCAGTGTCATTTGCGGCCTCGGTCGAGCCTGACCGAGTGAAGTGGATACTGGGAAAGGAAGATTGGCTCCCTGTGCCGGAACCAAGGTCGTCTAGGTCGATAATGAAAGGATCATTGGAACTGCCCGTGCTGCCTTCACTCGTACTTCCTGAGTTATGGTGAATTGGCACGGATGTCATGCCATCTTCCGTTGCAGACTCCGTATCCGATCCAGATGACAAGGGGGTACCCGAAGGTTCGGAAGTCTCCACCCACGTCGTGTAGTATCGAACGATGAATCGATGGCTCAGCCGACTGAGGGCATTGACTTCTCGAAAGATCTTGTCATCTCGCTGGGTCGCCCTAAGCTTAATCTTCTTGACTACAGGAGAGGTCAACCAGGCTTGATCGCTGAGAAAGGGAAGAGACATACCCGCATATATCCTCGAATCGATCTTGTTTCGAGCCTTGACGACAGAACCAAAGGCGCCCTTCCCCTAAAACAACCAGGACATCGATCATGAGTGGCCACAGATAGAAATGCCTAGTCAGACTCACAAGTAACTCAAGTTCCTCCCAATCTTCTTTCCAACGACTCGAGTGCTTCTGGCGGGGAGCAGGTACTCGGAAGTAATCGCTTTCGGGGGAGCTGGAAATGTGCTGGGGCATTGGCGTTCGTAGATCTACAAAATGTGTGAGACAGATGCCTAAGGACTATGCCAGAATAGAAGCAAGTTCACCTGCTGCAGCCGATGTTCCTCTTGATCGTGTCGCGATGGTTGTTGGACGAACGACATCCGACGAGCGTCGAGGTAGGTCAGCCAGAAGTGCTGCACAACTTGGACCTCGCTTCTTTCCGGGAACCAGCATGCCGGTGGCCACTTGGTGCAAAGCCGGGGAGACATGAACTAGAAGCGATGAACCCATCAATGAACGTGACAACGGAGTTCGCCCGTACAGTACTTACGAGCTTTCAAAGCCGTTTGAGGATCGGGAAAATGTTGGAAGATGTCTTGTCCCAAAAGCATCTGTAAAAGAACGACCCCGGCTTGATGAATGTCACGACTCGTGGTATAAGAGAGGGGCGAGTCTACAACGTCGCTTGGAAGCCTTCACGAAGGTAAGAGTTGAGATGATTCAGGTGTTTACAGTGACGTACCAAGCTTCAGGGATTGCCAGGTCTTCCGCAATGCGGGCCACATTGGGTCCGAAAGGATTCGATCTGTGCAGATCTTGAAGTCGGACATAATAGCTGACTTTTGCCAGCTTGACAATTTTTGGAGACGAAGCCGAATCGCCCTTGTGCAAGCAAATGCAACGAGGAGAAAGACCTTCGGTGTGTCATCAATAAACAATCGAGATGGATGTACGACGAAAGCCAACCTCTGTGCATAAGATTATTCGCATGAATAGCACGTAGACCCGAGAGGATTTGGCGAAGGTAATCCTAAGCAAACAGTCAACCTCTACCAACCGAAGTGAACAATCAGTCGACCAACTGTAGCACGATCTTCCCGAAGGGCATCAGAGTCCTCCAGAACGTCATGGAGCGTAAGCGAGGACCTCTGCTCTGCTAGAATGACAAGACGTGGTGGACCACTTGAATGAGGAAAGGTGAGCTTGACAGCATATATGCTGATAAGGTTGGGGTCCCGAATTCGCTTCAGCTGTTGAATCTCACTCTCGAGCTGCATTAACTTCTTGCGCCCTGGTCAAGACATTAACAAGGACTAAACCTGGCTATATGGGCGTCCAAACCTTGGTGAGTCTTGTAGTAAGGTGACTCGAATGCAACAGAGTGCAGTTCGAGTGGTAAAGTCACTTGGACATCATCGCAGACAGGATCGGCCAAGTAGATAATGCCAAGACACTCTATCATTCTCAATGTAAGGGCTTGAACAAAATACGGTCGTTTCAAACTCACCTTTGCGAGGATGGAACAACTTCACCGAATTGAAGCGCACCCCCTGCACTTCGAGCTCCGAACTAAACGACTCAGTCGGGGTATCTCCGGCAGACGGTACCTCCGTAGCGTCAGATTCAGCACGTTTGCGAGCTCGAACAAACTTCTCCTTTTCTGCTTGTTGGCGCTGTGCATCGGCTTGTATCTCTTCGTTCAGTCGCTGGGCGAGTTGCGAAGCTTTCTGACGTTCGAGGTCGGCCAACTCCTGCTCTCGCTCTCTTCTCGCCTATTATTCAGATGTCAAGGGTGGGCCGAGCAGATAGGCGGACAAGAACCTCACACGTTCTTCATCTGAAGCTCGTTTATTCATCTGTATTGCAAGGGAATCAGGTGTTTCAAGGGCGGGGTGGATATTCGTGTTGAGCCAATCTTGCGCAAAGGTGATGATCTAACAACTGTTGGAAGCCCAAAGGAGTTGAGAAGTAGGATCGGCGAACCTGAAAGACCATCTCCGATCCTTTGGAGCTCTGAGCTTCTGCGTGTATGGCAGATGACAGTTTGGTGATGTGATCAGGACCGAGTCCTCGGATAGGTTGTTGGATTGTAAAGATAGGACATGCTATCGAGGGGTATGTCTTTGGGAGCCTGCGAAAACAAGCATCGGTCAATAGGCCTCCCGTACGGGTCAAGGCGGAGACTCACTTGACATGAAGATGGAAGTAGACTTTGGATGCAAATGTGTTGTCGGGGTGTGGTACTTTGATGATAAATTCAGGAAGACGAGCTGCTCCCTACAGCGAGACGACGCAGATTTCAGTCTCCGGATCGCAGGTGCCAGCAAGCCAGAGTCCGAACGCCAGGTCTCCAGACTCACCTTCCAAGCTTTGGGTGGTGGAACTTCGAGAAAGTCCTCAGCATATATAGACTGAAGTACGGTGATTTCTTCGTGTTGTCGTTCATCTGCAGACTCCATAGTAGTAAGGCGTTGGATTGCCTAAAAGTTGGATGCTAGCTGTGTTTCGGTTCCAAGATTGGGACTGATCGGGAGAGAAGGGGAGGGCCCTTGGGACCTCAGCAACTCAAGCGCACATAGCTCTTTGTCCGCGTCAGTGGTTTTGGTGGAAAAATGAGTGATCAAAGTCAAAGCGAAGGATGCAAGCCTCGAGGAGAGTCACATCATGACGGGAACACCAGAGTCACGGAAATGTCACGTCACATTACTAATTTAAAATATATATTTAACTTTTAATAAGGAGAATATGGCCTGCTAGCTCAGTTGGTTAGAGCGTCGTGCTAATATGCTGTTAAGGGGGATTCAACCCCTCAACCGTTACGCGAAGGTCCTGGGTTCGACCCCCATGTGGGCCATAAGCTTTTGTTTCATTTATTTTATCTATTTATTTACTGTAAGTCAAACTTAAGTACTTCATTCCGACCCAGCATTTCTTCCCCATTATTTGGCGATTTTCCTTGCTTCTCCCCTGCCTCCTGCCATCATGCATCATGCATCATGCAACTTGTGGGGATGCTGTTTGCCTCGTGTCAGTGTCTCGACCGACCACGTTCGCGTATTGTCCCCTCGAACTTGCCTACTTGCGGTTGATGAGGTAAAACTGGACTTGACGGCGGCCCACGTCTCCCCCTCCCCTGCAGCGAAGGGGGGATAGAAGCCACTTATGGCAGCGATTTCACGACATGCCCGCCAGTCATGGCCCCAGATCATCCAAGCCTCCGGTTCATCCTCGTCCTGGTGTGGTTGGTCGATACCCCTTTCTGCCGTTGGTGCTTACGGACTCCAGAAAATTTTCGGTTCGGACGATCGTGGAGACATTTACGGCGATTGGGGGCAATGACCCTTGCAGCCCCCTTCTGTGCTGCTTGGATTATCTCTGAAAGCGCACGTTCGAAGCAATCATATGTTCTTTCTGAGCCCCCCGTTGTTCTGATCTTCCGTTTCCTTGACGGCGGGTTGCAAGCTCTGATGGTGTGTCGTAATTCCCGATGATCCGTGGTTGACCCCATCTCCCCTCGGTGTGGAAAACTTCAGGTCTTTTCGGAGACTTCCTCTCCTGAGGCAAGGACCTTCGTGAATGTCCGTAATCTTCTCATCCATATCACAGTGGAGTACGACGACCAGAGCATTTCTTGAGGTGCTCACGCAAAGTATCCGCAACCTGCGATATCAGATATTCTAACTTCTCGGCTCACCCTCATCCTTTTGGGCGATTGATGTATCTGTCTCCCTTTGGAACTCAACTCATCTTCGCCGATGAACTCATCATTGTGGAGGATTTGTCACGCCGGCACCTTGCAGCGCTGTTGTCTGGCAGTCTTTTCGAAGCATCAAACCCAAGTACGCACGTATGAACCAGTCGTATGCTCGATTCCTTTCACGAAGCTCAGAACCTCTGCCCACCTTGGACTTCCGGAATCGACTATATTAGCTCTCTCTCGCTGCCTTCCACCAGTTGGAAATCCCTCTGCCTTCTCTCAAGCGAAAGTCCGATCCTACACGAGTGGTGCTGGTCTGATGTCCTCACCACTGTGCCTTTAGTACCATATGCATCTCAAGTTTTATCCCCTTTCGAACGCGTTCACCTCGCGACGATCGCTGTGACGGCTATCTGGCCATACTCCACATAACCAATAGCGAGTTGTGCTCCAGCCTCCGAAAAATCACACACCACAGTACGAGGACAAAACTCGTGATTTTATGAGACGCCTACTGGATGTGAACGTACAGGACTGAACAACGACGATGTCACTATATGATGCAAAGTACTTGGGGATGTACACAACTAAGATACACGCTTGGTACCGCCGAGGGCTGAATTCGTACAAATCACATTATACTGCATTCGCCTAGCCACGGCGCGTCCACTCGACACCAACCTGGCAGGCACTATTCGTTACTTCAATCGTCCGTGGGGGAGCCCGACTCGACTACACAAGCATCCACCGTCAGTCAACGTCAAGCAAAGTTAAACGAACATCAACTCACCAAAGCCCTGGCCCTCCGCCAACTTGGCTTTATCGGCATCCTGCTTATCAGCCCTACAAGGCTCGTGCCTCTTCTCCAAGGGCGCAATATGCGCGCTGCCCACAAAGGCGGGCAAGGTATCCGCGCTATGTATTATCTCTCGTTCACGATGTACCTTCTGAGCGTGTACCGAGAAATCAATGGCCTCGGGATTCGTCGAATGAGAGAGGTTGATATTCGTCTCCTCCGGCGATGTCGCGCGAGGGTTTATGTGGGACGTCGCATGTCCAGGACGAGCAGCGGTGAAGGACTCGCGACGAGGTTTTATTTCGGATGGTGGTTGGCCGGTCATTTGAAGGTAGAGGACGGTGGTAGTGTGTGAGGTGAAACGATTTGTGAGTGGGTTTGATTGGGTTGTTGGGGGGTGGGATGCAGCCCCATATATAACATTTCGGAGGTAGGCCGAGCACGGTGATAGTTCGTCATTGACTTCAATCTAGAGCTCCTGGACTATTTAGAATGGTCGCATGAACGGGCTGGTCCCAAAACAAGAGGCAGGTCGAGGATGACGAGGTGGCAATTGAATGGCTCAAAGTATTTCCAGATGCAATATTCGCAATTTCGAGTCCAGAAGGATGTGGCGAGTACTCAAGAGAGCAGTCTCGCGAGCAATTCAGGTCAGTTGACACTGCTCATGGCCGTGAGCTTAGAAGTCCCAATTGTAAGCTCCAGGTTTACCGCAGTTGGATGTGGCGCTGGAGCCTATCATCTCGACAGTGAAGGTTGGAGTCTTGCACGAGACAAGCGCTGGGTCAATGAGAACATTGGAGCTCCAGAGCGCCAGCAACACGTTACATTAACAGAGCCAATATGACCAGGAGCGGTGACTGTGCTCCTCCGGCTTGCAGGAAGTCCAGAGCCTAGGCGTTCCATCCTCAGGTGACAATAGTTCCTCTCTGAGAAAGCATCGGGGCTCGCAATTCTGAGGCCCTGGAGGCCCGAGACATAGTAGATGTATGGCTTGTTGTAGGCTGGGGAAATGTTGGGGCTATACAGGATGAGCTGTGATGAACGCGAGAGTCAAGAACCGCTTGGGATTTCCGTTGAAATTCGTCAAGGATGCCTTGTGGCTGTTATGACGGCAAGTCCCGCGACGACTTTGCTTCTCACCCCATCAATGCATCACTAGTTGAACTTCTTCGTCCTAATCGTCTTCTTCACGGTCTTATCTGCTCTCCGATTCCACATACAACCCAGCAGGCGAGTTCGAAAATCCGACCGTCATGATTGAGGCCGTGTAGCGAGTCAGGCGGAGATGCTGCTGGGGAGCTCGAGAGCACCTTCCTCTACTCGTTCGATTCCTGTGTTCCTGCTCATTCCGAATCCTGGCCAATTCTTGGAACTTTTGACATCTCTCTATCACGCTCGTTCGTATTAAAATATCGTCGTTTTATCGACTCCGACGAAGCCCATCCGTGCCTGAGCTCGAACTTCGCCTCACGGTTGTTTCTTTATCGCGGAGGGTACCTTCCGGTGCGGCGATTGGTGCGATCTATTTTAGACATTGCCATCGGTGGGATCCTGGGAGGGGTTGCATTAGTCTGCTCGGAACCGTTCTTTTGTCGACTCACATACGATGACACTCACGTCCCTTTGCGGTTTGCACAGCTGGCAGATCCTTGTATTGGGATTGTCCACGATGGCGGTTTCATTGCAGCCCGGGAGGCATTCCCCTGCATAGGATCGATGATTGTCCAATGATCCTCCGCGAAGATATTCCTGTCTATATCTTATTCTCGATTCCCTTGGGCGTCGAAGTGTGCGTCTATCTCTGATCGCAAGCGTTCATATTTTTCCACCCTCGAACTCAGGCACCGGTAGTGCTCGGATTTTCCGTGCTCTGTCACTGCTTTATGATCCTTCTGAGCATCACTGCCATACGTTTCCGTTTCAGCAGACCACTCTATGACTATTGTTGTCATGGATTTGTCAAGTCGTTCCTCCATTTTGTCGCTCTCCACGAGCGTCTCGTTACCCCAGGTTCTGTCTTCTTACGGAACGTGAACTACGGCTATCCATGAAGTCCGATATTCTTGAGTCGTCGTGATCTTAGCTGTGCTGCTGATACGAATCCCCTATAAAGGTGGATTTGGTCGGCCCGATAGTCGCTTTCGTTGACTCCCCCAGCTTTTCTTCCTCTACTTTTCCTATCTCTTCGAACAATCATGGCCACGATACAGACTGTATCCGTTGCTACCATCTATTCCGCTGCCTTCATATTGGGCACATTACTATGCAAACTTCTCTGGAACGTGTTCCATAACCTGGTCATTTATCCGCATCGTTCACCTCTCCGCAATATCCCAGGTCCTCCGCCACAATCTTGGTTCAAAGGTTCGTCCATTTAATCATGACCACTTCACCACAACTTTGCCGTTGTTGATTTCGTTCCGTAATACCCAGGGAATCTCGGTCAACTGTTCAATTCCAAAGGACTCAAATTTCATCATGACATCGTGGAGGGATACGGTGGTGTCGTCAAAGTTTATGGCTTCTTTGGCGTCTGTACCCACTTCGCCCTTCTCTTTCCATCACTGACTTAACAACCAACCTTCCAATAGGACGAGCAACTGTATATATCAGACCCTCGAGTGTTGCAGAGCATCATATTGAAAGACCAAGATGCGTTCGAAGAGACGCAAGTATTCATTGAGTAAGTCAACTGTGGTTTATCTACGATTCTAAGGAGCTGAGGATTCTGATGGCTGCAGGACCAATAAGATTATCTTTGGAGAGGGTCTCGTCGCCACAACCGGTATGCAACGATCCTCCACACTAGACAGGACTTTTTCTGAACTTGACATCCAGGGGCGCATCACAAGCGACAAAGGAGGCTTGTCAACCCAATCTTTTCTATGACCAATCTTCGGAAATTGGTTCCAGTATTCTATGAAATCGCGAACAAGGTAACAATTCCACATGCTCACATTCGTCTCGTTCTCACAAGCCGGTCAGCTTGCCGATGTTCTGGGGAAGGAAGCCCAATCAACCGAAAACCAAGGTCTTGGTTCTGAAAGCAAGGCAAAGTCGATCGATATGTCCTCTTGGATGTCCCGAGTTGCTTTGGAAAGCGTCGGTCGCACCATCCTCGGCTATTCGTTCGATCCGTTGGACACACCTTCAAGTAATCCCTATACCGCTGCAATCAGAGAGCTCATGTACGTCTCACTCATTGTTTTGAATTTTGTCCTCGACATGGATTAACACGCTTGTAGACCAACACTCTTCAAGATCGCTCTCCTTCGCCAATTCGCTCCTTTTTTGGCTCGTCTTGGTCCTGCCTGGTTCCGTCGCAAGTTGGTCGAGTTGACACCAAATGATACCATTC